TTTAATAGAGAGGAGGATGAAAAAGTGTGAGGGCATCATAGCTCATTGTGAAGAAAATGTACTGCGTGGGTTGGTTGGGAGTGAGAAGAAAAGGGCAAGAGCAGAGAAAGACGATGGTTTCCAAAAGTTCACAATCCGACTCAGTAATTCCCTTCCTAAATGGCTAACCTAGAGGAGTAATAGACATGGGCAGACATGTCTGTGCACAGTCATTGCACAGTCATTGCACAGTCATTGCACATTGTACCACTGTGATACCATTGCAGTGGTATCACAACAAAAAAATGGAAGCAACCTAGATGTCCAATGAGAGGGGTGTGGGTAAATTAATATGATGAGGCTTTACAGTATAATGTTTTGCAACCATAAAGTTATGTTTCTGAAGACGCTTTAATAGCATCGGACATGTATATATTCTATGTATGCCATAAATCTACCATATAACCTCAGCTACCTAAAAGATCTATGTAAAAGAGAATGACTAAACATCTGTATATACAAGGTCTTTCCAGAAGGTAGCTAGCCACATACTATGAAAAATGAAGACATTTATTGAAGAAGATACGAGAAACATTGTACATAGGATGATGACACCTCAGTCCCCTTCAAAGTAGGCACCTTGGGACCACACACAGTTGTCATGATAAAACTGGCAATTACCAGCTGCCCATAACTGCAGCCTTCTGAATCATTCAAATAGTTTCCGTGGAGGAATGTTCAAGCTTAAAACAAAATTTGATGCAGATTTGTTGCTCTACTCACTCAGTCATGTTGAATGCAACGGCCACACAGTACACACGCTCACTCAATTGCATCTCACACCCCCACTGACTAGTACAGTGAAGTCATCATTGTTCACACACGCACATCCCAGTCCACTGTCCTTGGCTGCCAGGCTACGTCAATGTCACGCAAACCCTTCTCGTTATATTAACAATGGCTGGACTCTGTCTAGATAGGTGCTGTATTTTTATGTATATGTGTTAATAGCAATGGAATTCTGATGATGTTTCTTTTCTTTTGATATTTTTATATATGTTCCAGATTAAAAAATAATAGGAGTTACTCAAGAACATATCATTTTAAAGTATACATACAAACATGTTTAAGAGGAGAGGCTGCTCCAGACGTCACAGCTTTGTCTGTGGCTGCTGGGCAGGCCTTGCTAATTATGCACATTACAGATCCAACTGGGCCACTTGAAAACGGCTGCCCTTTTCCCTCTAGAAGCAATTCTTAATTCATTAGCCAACCTACTGCATCTGCTTGTGGGAAAATCTGGGTGTGTGAGCTTGAGTCTGTGGGATGGTGTTTCAGAGTTGAATCTTAGACAACACTCCTCCTGCCCTGAGGCATGTTCTTGTTATAGAGGGGTCAGTGGTTATGGGGAAGGGGGACTTGGAGAACATCTTAATCAACAAAGGAGACATTTGGTTAGTTTCACAACATTCAGAAATCAGCTTCTGGCCGAAACGATTGAAGACTTGACATCTAGCAAGATGTGGTTGTTCTCACAGGCTACTTAGCTCCAGAAGATACCAATTTAAATCTATAAAACACTGAGGAAATTGAAAAAGTTTCAGTCAACAGCATGAGCCCCACATTTCTCCAGCCACAATGTGTCCCTGAGAGATGTTTTTTGTGAGTGAACTTCTTGCTGAAGTGCAAACGTGGTGCAGAACACCAGAAAACATCTCCAGAGAGGTTCGAGGTTCGGTTTCATTTGCCTCCCTTTTCTCATGGAGGTGGGTGTATTTGTATTGGGGTCACATGAGTTCAATTAAATGATAATCTCTAGAACACTAGGAATGAGTTGGTTGCTAAATTAAGTGTAACACAGTAAACAATCTCTTTAATTCCTTTCCTAAATTGTGATTTAATGTAAAAAATCTAGTAAGTTCTCCCTTTGTCAAAATAGAGAAAATTTCATTTAAATGTTTAAAGGTACAGTTGGCATCTTGTTTTATTCTATGGCTTATAATTTATTAATACCATTTATTTGGTCCTCGAATTGTTCCAGATTTAACCAATAGAAAAAATATGTATGTAGAAATAGAGACGCATGTAGATCGGAGGATCTCAGCCACAGGAGACTTTGCCTTTTATGGAATGTCGGGCAGTGTCTGGTGAGGTTTTAGTTTTTGTATCTCAGGACTGAAGGAAGGGATGATAGGAGCACCTTACTAGGCTTTGGTCTGTATACTCAGATCTGCAGCCTGTGGAGAAAATGACGTGTCCCTTGTTGAACATGTAAGTTCAGCTCGGTCCCTCGTCGTCCATGACCTCTAGGGTCACAGTCTTCAGGGGCAGGGAGGGAAGTTAGCAGAGATGCTTGCTTGCTTCACCATGAGAATGCACACTCTCATGTTGAGGCTGTATTTAGATGGAGAATCAGTGTTCTGCTTAAACTCCTCTTCAGAACCTGCATTTGGAAGCTGTTGGTGAAGAACCCACCTCTCCCTACCCAGCCTCTCTTCAGTTGTGTTTTGTCTCCTGGATGCATTATATTTTGTATATAGCAAGGAATCGTTCTCCAGTGTCCTTCCAACAGCATCATGAGTTCCTCTGGGTCAGGGGCCCTGCTTTCTATGGTACATAGGTTCAGCGTAGGGACCAAGAAGAGTTCAAGTTCTGGAGACACACTGCCTGTTCCTCTTCTTACTAGTTGCATGACCTTATATTAAGTTGCATGCTTATATTATGGAACCTGTTTGTGCCTCACTTTTCTCAACTGTTAAATGGGGAGAAAAATAGCACACCTGGTAGAGTTTAAATAAATGAATACAGGTAAATTGGCACAGCGTGGTACATATTAAGAGCTTAATAAAAGTTAATGTTCTTTCATTCAGTCAATCATTCATTCTATATTATTGAGATTATCTCTGTCCTCACCCACCCCTTTACAGTGTTTCCCAGCCTCTGTGTAGGAAGATGTAACTGATGTTTTCCAGTCACCCAGGCGCCCTACGGCCCTGCCTGACTCTTGCTGACCCTGCCGCATTGACTCAACTCCGACGCTCATTGAGAATCTCCATGCTCAGTGGCAGCTCAGTGATTGAAACTTCTTCATCCTTCATGTCTCTGTCCCTTTCCCATCTCATCTCATCCTGTCCAGCTCTCTTATTCCGTCCATTGGTTATTACCAACAGCCCTCACACTGTGCTAAAGAATTTTTATTTCAACTGCTTCCAATAAGAGCCCTGTGTGAGAAAGAGGCCATTATTCTCCTCGCTGTGCATTTAAGGAAACTGAAGCTTGGAGAGGTTAACAGGCGTGAGCAAGGCAGCAGAATTGAGAAGTAGGATGTTTTTCCTCCACTTTCCAAGTAACGGTGTATTTTCAGTAGGGGAGAAGCCACTGCATAGGCAGGCTGTAGCCCAACAGTTGATGCCATGTTGGATGCCAAAGTTGAAGTCTTGTTTGACTTCCTTGCCAATCACAGAAGCAGGAAGAGGCCTGTGCAGATTTAGCATTTATCATGGGCCAGGGGCTGTGCTAGGTTCCAGGGCAAAACAATGGAAAAAAGTTGGTCAATGACCTCAATTTGTTTAGGGTCTGAGTTATCTTTTACTGTGTAATGAAACACCCCAAAACTTAGTGGCTTAAAACAATGACTTATTGTTTCTCAGCATCCTGTGAATTGTCTGGACTCACAAGACAGTTCTGCTCCACATGGTACTGTTTAAAGTCACTTGTGTGGCTTCGTTTAGCTGAGAGTGTGGCTTGGGGGTCCCATGCCTGACAGTTGGTGCTGGCGCTGCCCTGCGGGCCTTACATCTCCAGAGCCTCTCACCATGTGAGCTCTCCAGCAGGACTGCCTGGACTTCTCTACATAGTTGTTGACTTCCACAGAGTAAAAATGGAAGCTGTGTGGTCTCTTTAAGGTCTAGTTATAGAGTTTACACAGCACCACTTCTGCGGCATTCTGGGGCCCAAAGCAAGTTACAGGGCCAGCTTGACAGGTGGAGAAAGGGACTCCACCTTTTGGTTTTCTCTTCTTCTATTTCTGTGCCTGGAACCTGCTCCCCGATTCCCGGGCTGGGCACCCTGGTCTTCAGTTAGTGCTTTCGACCTCACTGCCAGCACTGACCAGACACACCTTCCTCGTCATTGCCTTGTACCTTTGAAACGTGAAATGGTGCCAGATTGTACCACACGCATAAAAAGTGGCTGTCCAACCCCCACCGATGTTATAAAATGAAACACAACACGTTTATATAATACTCCAAGTAGCTTATTATACTACAGTCCTTTTTTTCTAAAATCCAAAATTATTGCAATATAAAATGTGTTGCTTGTTTTGAAATGGAGCAGGTGAGCCATAAATTATTAATTTCTCTCAGATTAAACACAAACCTGAAAGTAATTAAGAATTCCATCTCCCCAGATTGTTATGACGCTGTTTTGATTATTTCCAGTCTCCTGGGTGGAGGACAGGTATTCACTTTGTACTAGAGACAATGTTATCAAATCCAGCTCTGGGACTCCCCGCAAACCCTCAGGGAGTGTCTGACTCCTACTGAGGGGTTAGGCAAATAAGGGCTGTAATTCTCAGGTTTATGACTTCCTGAAGACCGTACCCATTTTAAAGACCGCCTGGTAGAGGCACTGTCCAGGAAAAAAGCATTCACTCAGTTTCTGCTGTATTATGTTGTAGATTGCATGAAACTATGGTTAAATTCTAATGGCATGTATCATTTCATAAATTAAATGAGTAGGATTGGTTCATTACTGAAATTCAGAAAAGGCAGAAGCACACAAAGGATAAAATAAGGGTCACCCACCTTGTAGTCAAAACCACCGTTAACAATTCAGTGTCTGCTTTCCCAGTCAGAGAGAGAAACGTGTTTTTCTTCTTGTAAAATGGGGTCATACTGTAAAATAATTCTGCAGCCAGATATTTTTGTGTGTTTTGTTGTGCCTCAGTGTGGCAAAATCATCTTTCATGTTGCTAGAGACCCTTCTACCATCCAGGTGGTAACTCTTTCTTGTTTTGACAGGGCAGTGACATTGAAGCGCTGGTCAGGTGTCTGGAAAGCGTCCTGGGTTGCACCTCTCTAGGTGAGTTTCTATGTTCCCAACATAATGATACTTCCTGATTCTAGTGGACCACCCAGGAACTGGGCAGCTTAGAAAGAATCTTGGAGATATTTCAGCCCAACCTCCTCCTTTTATAGATGAGGAAACCGAGGTAAGAGCATCTGAGTGTCGTGCCCATGGGCCTGGGAGTCTCAAAGGAGAGTTGTTTGTTATTGTTGTTAGTGACCCTCTGTCTCCAAGAATAAAATAATTAAAATTCAGTGATTTATTTTGATAAAATGGTGGCCTAGCAGTGCTTACTGTCTGGTTTTACAGGTTTCTTTGAAGGGAAGTCTGTCTGCCTCACTCCCCCTCTAGGAACAGACTGTATTCAGGCCAGCCAGAAGGACCGTGACCCTGAAGGTCAGCTAGTTATTGGAAGAGACTGGGTCTGAAAAACAGAGTTGAAATTTTTTTAGCATGGTTAGTCTCCATATATGAGATTGCTGTGTGCTCCAAGGATAAAGCCTTATTTCTTAGTTTCTTCTTTTTTAAATCCCCAAAGACAGCTGTGATGATGTCTGGCACTGGACGATACATTGTCATTTAAAATTTTTTTAGTTATATGACCAAAAGCCATCTCTTTGAAGGGAATGGCAGACATACAGATTGAGTTTTTAGGTGTGCCAGCATTTACCACTTTTTTAGTAGGAGCTTAATGCTCAATTTGTAGCCTTTTTCTAGCTTGTTCCACAGCTCTGTGTGCAAAGCATCAGTATAGCACAGCTCCCTTACTTGTTCTCCTGACTGTCCTGCTGGGATCTCTTACTACTATGTGCAGTAACACTTAGTAGGCACATTTAACTCCCAAGAATGGACCTGAGGACTAGGAAGTCTTCCCTTTGGCTGAGTCCCTTTTTCTTTGACCTCAGTTAGATTGCCTCAGTGATTTTTGGACTGGGTTCCCTGGGACCTCCAGGAGCCGGAAGGGGGGCGGTGGCGCCGGGCACTGGGCCAGGCTAGAAGCCTGGTCTGCCCTGCTCATCTCTGCTTCTCCAGAGCAGATCTTTTAAAACTTGAAGAGAGACCACACCTGCTCCTTTACCAGCTTCAACCAAGATACAAGTTTCACTCTGTGAAACTGTTTTATAAATTAGATTTCTGCATATAAGATTGTGTCTTGAAAAAGATGGATTCTATTGCAAAAGAAATTAACAGTGAATTGGAGATATGATATCTAAATTCCCTCCTGGACTGTATGATTTTATAAAAAATGAGCATTAGAAACATGGAATAAAAACACACATTTATCTCTGCCTGGAGCTCCACAAAATGACAGAAAAGAAATAAGTGATATAAACCCACAGGAACGAAGGGAACAGGAAAGGACATGGGAGCGGGCCACAGCTGTTAGTGAACTTGAGAAGATGGAAAGCAGCTGAACGAGTTGGTGATTTAGAAAATGGGGAAAGGTGAAAGCTTAGTACCTAAGATGGGTGTGGGAAGGAGGAACGGGAGCCACGATGGGGGGAGCACGCTCTGGGGCTGACGCACTGCCGACGGCACCAAGGAGGTAACTGAGCATGCTCTCGAAATGCCTGTCTGTCTGGGGTGGTACTTACAGCTGGACCCTCACTGCGGACTCCAGGCACTTCTCTCTGTTATTACACAGAAGCCATGAAGAAACCTCCTCACATAGTCTCACAGGGGATGCGACTGCCCGGGTAGCTAGTATCTGTTTTGCTGTAATGCCATTTCTGGGAAACTGGCCGGTTATAATAATAGAGCTGATTAATCGCTGTGCTTGTTAATATATGCCAGAATGTTAACAGAATCTGAGGGACAGTTTAAACTTAAATGCATGTCGGAGTATAAGCCTTGTCACTTAAAAATGAGATCTCTGTGAATTGAGCTGGACTTTGCTCACATTCAGCATCAGCCTATGCGTTTTGTAGCCCTGAAAGTGTCTATGCAGTCATTTGACGCCATCCCCAACACCAGATTTGGGTTTACTTCTGTTTAATACAGGGACAGTGTATTTTCCCTTCTTGTATCACCGGGGAGTAGAGAGGATGAATAGGTAAGTAAGCATTGTGTAGCTTCAACAGATCCTGAAAGAAGGTACTCTTTTGAATTCCAAGTTCAGTTTATCAGTCTCCCCTATGCATCAAGGTCACTTTAAAGCCTCTAGATCTGTGGTGCTCACACTTGAGCATGGGTCAGAACTACATATAGGGCTTTGAAAATGCACATCTAGTGCGTGCTGAAGAAGTCGTCTTCCTAGCAGTTTTCAAGTGATGCTGATGGTCTGGGTCTGGACCACTCTCACAGAGCCATGCAGGCATATAAAGTTTAACCTTTTTCGATGTTTGAGAAATTAGCTGTACTCCTAGAGAGAATTCATCAGTGGAATGACACAAGTTCTTGGTAAACTGTATTTATAAAAGGGCTGTTTGTAGATCTAAGCTGAATATCGTCACAGAAATAATTAGAATAAAAGCAGAGTCTTCAAAATCTCTCTGCCCATTAAGATTCCTTTGGAGTGTTGATATGTTTGATTAGTTTGGCTTTTTGAAAATGGTTTCTCCTCGGTTCTTCCATTGATCTTTGGAAATAACTATTTAATCTCTACTAAACATTGTGACTAATATACACCAGAGAAGGTGGCAGGGCCTCTGAATCCCTTAGAAACTTCATTTGCTTAAGCTCCACAAACTCTAATCCACTAAATGTGGGGATGACTGACAGCCACTTAACCTTGCACTGTGGTGCTTTTGACCTTGACAGAAAAGAACGTGTTGTAATAATTACAGTGATTTCAACATAGTGCTTTATCTTTGCTTGCTGACACATTGCAACTACTCCTTTTGGAGATGATGAGGGCTATTTTGGATCATGAATGACTTGGATCATTTTGATGCAAATGCACAATATTTGTTTGCCACTATCCCTTCTGTTTATGCATTAGAGAAATTTAATAGTTTCTATCAGTTCTTTAAAACTTGAAAGGATGCAACAGATTCAGAATTAGTGGCAATTCCCAAAGAACCTGCTATCTGTCTCTTACCATGGCAGACCCATTTGCTTGGCAGACGTGTGGTGATGGAAGCAAGTAGGGAAAAGGTCTTGTAATACAAATAAATCCCTAAAACACTTTTATTAATCATCTTTAGTACTAAACTCTTAGCAAAGGACATTCTGTATATTACTAATGCCTAGGAAAACATTTCCAGTGATTGAGTTTCCCATTTCCCTAGTTAAGACAGAGTCTCAGCAACCATGCAGTCATTCATTACTCATACATTAAGATTTCATCCAAGTTCACGTATGTTGTAGAGGAGAGGTATTAGCTCCCAATGATGTGTTGGGCCTGGATCCTGCCACTAAAAGCTTAGATTTCTGAGGAGAACTAAGACAAGAACCTAAATAATGATACAGCGAGAGAGTTAAGGGTTCCAAAAATGGGGGTATTGCTTTTATTCAGGGAGACAGAAGTCCTGAAAGAAGCTTGAAGGAGAAGGTAGCACCTGAGATCATTCCCGACGTAAGGATACACTTGGCCGTGAGGAGATGCGAGGACGGCCCTGCAGCTGCAGGGGACGAGACGAGGAGGAGCGCACGGGACAGGCAGGACCAGGCAGGCTTTGCGGGGGGAGGGAGAGCAGTTCCGCAGGTGTCGTTGGCCCGAATCATCACACTGTGAACAGGGCGTGGAGTGTCCCAGTAGCTGATTTTTATTATTTTCTTCTAAACAAATACAATCTTCTTTTCTTTGAAAGGGTGTTCACTAGGATCTTCCAGATCCACTGCCCTTTGGTGTGGAGGAGGGCTTTCACTGCCACTGTCTCCGTGGGCAGTCACAGCTGAAAAATGCGGGGTCTGCTTGTCACACGCCTCTTCTTAGCCTGTGTGCACACTTAGTTGCTTATTAAAAGTAAGACCCTCCTTTTTTATTTCATTTTGTTTTGTTTTATTTTATTTTATTTTTACCGATAGGTGCTATTCTTAGAAGCTTCTGGTATGTTCAAAAGGAAATGAGCATTTCCAAACTTGGGAACTCCTGTTTTTAATTTTCCATATAAATAGTCAAATATTTGTTGTATGAAATAACATGTAGTAAAAATAGAAAGTTTATTGATTTCATATCTCCTGATGTTTATTATCTCCTCATGGGTAGCAAATTCGCTTTTCTGAGCTAACCCACTTTCCTTTCCCAGCGAGTTTAACTTTGTTGGGGGCAGCGCACTGGGGCATGTGCCATGTGGCCGAGGGAGGCCGTGTCATAAAGTCGCCTTGGTCTTTTTCCAACAACAAAGCACCTTTACGGAGATCATCGCATTTAAGCTTTACTAGAGCCCCAAAAGTCTGACTATTTTGTGAGCAGGTTCAGAAGGTGAGTCATAAAAGTTTTGTAACTTACCAAACATCAAAGACTCAAACCGCAGCCCTTGAAGGCAGCTCACCCCCTCCTCCTGATGTGCCCGGCTCCCTTCCCACCGGAAGCTTCTGGAGCAGCATTTCCCCCTTTCCTCCTCTGCGCTTTCTTCTGCAGCCCCTCAGGTGGTCTGGCTTGGACACCGCCGCCACTGCGGGGCTGACAGTGACCTCCTTAGGTGGCGGCTTCTGCCCTGTGCCTATAGACACAGCTCTCTGAAAGAGATGGGCTCGTTGGGGCGGGGTAGGAGGGATTACATTTTTTTCATTTTCATGATTGCTTTTATCAAATAGTCGACTTGTTAAAGGCACCAAGACAACCACCTCCACGTCTCCACGCCCTCCAATTCCAGCGCCCATGGGTCAGGGCTTGGGCTCTTCAGGGGGCAGCCTCTGACACGGAGTTTGGTGGGCAGGACATTTATTCCGGGCTGCCCTCAGGATTGACCCTGGTGGACAGGACAGGAGGGGAGCAGGGAGAGGCGGAGGGCAGAGTTGAGCAGTGATGCAGGCCTGACAAGACTCTCCCCAACCCGCGGGGAGCTCTGGACTCACAGGGATTTGTAATGCAGACCCAGACAACCAGGCTTTCTATCTCCATCGTGACA